CTCGATCGTGACTCAGCTGCCAAGTATTTTGTCTTTCTTTGTCTTTCTTCTTTGATTTTGACAAAAGTCAATCATGTTCAATTTAGTTGTCTTCCACATAGCCTTGTTATCTATCTTGCCGCTGTCAGCACTCAGAGCGGGTATACTTGCTTCAGCATGATCATGCAGCACCTGCTGCTGACAAAACTGTTTTGATGATGATGTCTTCTTTGCATATAGCTGGGTGTATGATATTGATGGCTACGTATACCCATGACATGTGGGCCGCAGGCGATCACGTGGCGGATGTCGTGGTAGACTAGTGATTTAAAAATGGATCGGATATAAGCATGGCACTAGGATTGTATTATGCCTGTAAAAGAAATTCTCAGTTTCTGTCTGATAATTATCAGTCTTCATACGAAAGTCAGATCTACCCTCTGATCCCAGGAATTCCCCTGAGGACTAGCTGAGCAGCTGAGCAGCCCCTCAGCCAGTACTCAGTCACATCCTTTGGATCCTTTTCCCAGGAATGCCCCTGAGGACTAGATGAGCAGCCCCTCAGCCAATGAGCAGTGAAATCCTTTGGATCCTTCTCATCGAGGAATGCCACTGAGGGATAGCTGAGCAGCATTGGTCAACTGAGCAGATGGGCATCAGGCTTCATTCCGGAGCCATGAAGCCTGAGGAGAGGCTGGCCCTATGTGATCCATCCAAGGGATACTGTGGAGAATTAGTCAAGAGGATACTCAGGTCAGCTCAGCCCCTAAGCTAATCATAAGTGGTGTCCCTTGGAGCCTACTGAACCAGGGAATGCCGCTCAGGATCAGCTGAGCAGCTGAGATAAACTCAGCAGATGGATCAGCCCTTCCTCAGACTTCTTTGCTCAGGAATAAGGCCTGAGGAAGGCTTAGTTTGTCTGCTCAGTTCCTGTTGATCACATAATCAGATGACAAGCAGAAAGAAATTGGAAAGAAAAGGGAAAGAAAAGGGAAAGAAAAGGAAAGCAAAATTGAACAAACATTGAAGAAAACACAAAAATTTCAATGCTCACACCTATGTGAGCATCTACTTTTGCCCCTGTGAGTATTGGAATTTGTTTCGAGTTGCAGGAGTTGCCAACAGGTGAAAGTGGACCATAGGCCCCCACAAGGACAGCTGATTCCTCTGCCAATTCCAGATAGACCTTGGTCTACAATTGGAGTCGATTTCATAGTCAAATTACCTCTTTCCCAGGGTTTTGATTTGATCATGGTTGTAGTGGATCATTATTCAAAAGCATCTCACTTCATTCCGGCTAGGGAATCATGGAAAGCTGATGATCTGGCTTGTGCTTTTGTTTCTTTGGTTTTTAGGTTCCACGGTTTACCGGATGTGGTTGTTTTGGATAGAGTAACGACGTTTATGTTGGCTTTTTGGACCTTGGTTTTGACTTTGCTGAATGTATCACCAGCTCCGTCAACGGCTTTTCACCCACAGACGGATAGCCAGGTCGAGAGGACGAATGCGTTGTTGGAGGATTACTTGAGACATCATATTTCCGAAGATCAGTCGGATTGGGTCGGTTGGTTGCCTTTGGCAGAGTTTGCATACAACAATTCGACTTCAAGTTCTACAGGCTTATCCCCCTTTTTTGCACTTCAAGGATATCATCCAAGATTTAACTCGCTCACTGGTTCTTCAGGTCGCCCCAAAGCTGATGAATTTGTTTCTCATATGCAGTCTGTACAGGATTATTTAGAAACGAGTTTGGTAGCAGCGAAACTGGCGCAGTCTGAATTTTACAACAAAGGACGTCGTGTGGAAACTACTTATCAAGCAGGCAATCTGGTCTGGCTTTCGAGACGGAATTTGAAGACAAAACAGCCAAATAACAAGCTAGATGTTAGACGGATTGGTCCCTTCCCAGTACTACGGATGATAGGGCGTAATGCAGCTGAGTTGATCCTTCCGTCTGAGCTGAGTCGCTTGCACCCTATGTTCAATGTTTCTTTACTTATGCCTTTTGTAGGAAACGAAGTACCGGATACGCCAAACACACCGTCAAGGTGGGGAGTTTTGCCGGTCAATGAGACAGTTTGCATCACGACGATTCTGAATTATAGGAGGACATCTTTTGGCGTATACAAATACCTGGTGCGGGGATCGAACGCTTCTGCATTGGACGACTATTGGACACCGCTCACAACTTTGCCCAATACTTTGGATCCATACTTACGGCGTTTTCACCGACTTTTGCCGTGGTTAGGGACAGGTCCACCTACTGAAGTTTGGCTTTCCCGTAATGCAAAACCTGCTGAAGACCCCAGTGTTAGATTTTCCTCTCCGTTGACCAACCCCTTTGAGCCTAAACAAGCCATTCAAGATCTGGGTATGTGAAGGTTTGGAGAGGTTTTTTATCGAAACATGGTATAAGGGTAGTCATAATTTGTCATGATCTTTGGTGACTTAGTGTTTCACTATACAAATACAGCAGACTAGTAGATTTAGTCTTTAGAATTATTCTACAAAAGAAATAAGTGGTTATTGGAAGAATACTTTAGACGACTTATGGTATATGAGACTGATGTTAATTAAGTAGTGCTAGCCCATACTCACCTGTACTCGGCTCGACAACGCTCGCGTAGTTTATTCGCCCTTCGAATTCTCTGCATATATATATTACTATTGATTTTGTATGTTGAAGCTTTTCTCTTCATCGAAATAATTATTATTATTATTGTCTTCTCCCTTCTTTTGTTCTCCGATCTGAGACAACGAAAACAGTCTTCCTACTTCTCCGAAAAGAGATCTCCGCTTTGGGAAGCTCCGAATTGAGCCATACATCCCTAGTCCTTACATGTTGGGTAAGATAGCCTTTATTATTTGGGCTTCTCTCCCTCTTTGAAACTAAGACGCAAGGTGTTATGTTTTAAGTATTCTGATTATTATTATTTAGATTATTTATTCTTTTACTATTTTTAATTATTTCTTTCTGGAATATATATACTCGTCTTTGATACTAGACGCACGGTGTTGTGATAGTCTTTCTCAGTTAGACTAGATGGGTTAGCTATATATTTTTCATCCACTTTTTTTATTTTACCTATGAAATTGTAGCTCTCTTGGCTTTTGGTATAAGTAGCTGTAAAGCTCGGGAGCTGACAAAGCCTGACAAAGCCCGTTCCGGGTATATGCATCTTAATTTGTAATATATCATGTGTCGAAAAGGGAAGGCGCGGACTCTAGATCATGGGCAGCCCATATTTCCTCCCGCCTTCAATTGCTCTCGACGCATGGTAAGAGGAAAAGGGGAACAAGGAGCAAAATCTTGTATCAATTTGAGCACTGCTGAACATCTCTTGTTTTACGCACCAGGAAAGTTCTTGTACTTGATCATAAAAAATTTCCCTGGTTTTTCAAACTTAACAAAGTCCCTCGCGCCAAAGGCCCGAGGCTTGAGCGCCTTTGGCGCGAGGGACTTTGTTAAGTTTGCCGGTTTTTCAAGAAAAGACCTTCAAGATCTTGATCTGAGCCCCTGTATTTATAAACACATGTTTTACAGTTCGCAAGCACCTCTAGAGGCAAACTTAACTAAGTCCCTCGAGAGCTGTACTGGCCAGCTCAAACGAGGGACTTACACATTAGCTCGTTTTTTTGGCCTGAGATCGGCCGGTACAATTTCCCAAAAGCTAGGAATCGCTCTGCTCGCCATTCTCGTCAATTGAGGTCCATCAAGCCCTTAATAAAAAGAGCGCGCTTGCTCTCTTGCTGCAATTTGCCGCTCTCGGCTTTTAATTATCTCATCTAAGCACAAAACTATCTCAAAATAATGGTTTGGGGCCAAACCCGGGGCAAAAAATCACACATGCAACTAGCATGCTGCGCGTCCAAAACATTTTGCTCCAACCAAAAAAATTAAGATTGCAAGGCTTGATTCCACAACCTGCAGAGAAGCGTCAGTACGGGTGAGGACATCTTGAGATTAATGATGATACCTACATGGATTTGCATACCCACGCAGTGGCTTCTGAGGTCAAGCCTCCGAGCCAGGCCTCGGAGGCGGAACACAGTCAGGACTCGGAGGTGGAGCGTAAATCTCCAGCTCTTCCATCTGAGAGGAAGAGGAAGCGGCCAATAGGTCAGTTTCCATGCTGAAAACAACATGCGAACGTGAATACATACCTGGGCGTATATAAATAATTCCCAGGCCCGTTTACCGTGGCCAGATTTGTACATGCAAGCTTGGATCAACTTGAGGAGTTGCAGAATGTATCCTGTGTCTCCTTCGGCAAGCCATTCCGTTCGACAATTTTGGAAACATTGATTTTGAGGGTTGAGGAGAGATAACAGGAATTCTACGACCGTCATATTTTGCTTCAAGGTGATGAAGTTGTATATATAGCGACTTTTTTCCATAGGCGTGGCGTGGTTGTAGGTCAGTCTATGTTGCCAGTTTGTGTCTTCATTTGCCATATAGATGAATACCGGAATTGTGAGGCCTTCAGCTTCAATAGCCCTCTCGATTCTTATAAATGAATCGCGGTTGGCAACAGACGCGGTTGGTTTGAGGTGATCTATGTCTATGAAAACGTGGTAGGTTTTTCGAAGGGGTCACTCGGATTTTAATATTACTTAAACTTATATATATAATGAGCTCGGGAAGGCCAGGAAACCTGAAACCCTTCAGCAGGACAACAGGCTAAATGGACACACTAATCGTGTGCCCACGCGCCTGACACAGGTGCTAACATAGCTGTTCCGGGTCCTCGGTTTGACTCTATGGTGAAACTTGAGAAATCCTGAGAGCTGTTATGAAGTGGGCACCTGTTTGGCGCTGACTCTGAAAACGAAAGCAAAGAGGCTGAAACATGCACAAGAAACGAGTCCTTGTGGTGTGATGCTTTGTTCACATTTAGTGATTTCAATTAACTACAAACATCCAGGAGACTTTTTCGTGGAATACGAAAGATATCGCTTTATAACTTTCAGATAAACATACGGCCGGTACGTTTATTCTACAATTGCAAGTGGTTACCTCCATGTCCAACCCAACGTCGCCAATTGCTGTGGTTCCCAGTCCCAGAAAGGCACTTCCAGCGACTGTGAAGAATACCATTATGATTTGTGACTACATGACCAAACTAGGAATGTCGCCGAAGGAGTTCATGGTGACGTTCCTGTCCTCTACCGCGGACGAGATAGTCTTCCGCCAACGCCTAAGCAAGATAGGCCTAGGTGCCAGACAGACTCGATCGATCTTCAAGAATCTCGGAAGATTGACTTCGGCATCTAACCAGGGACGAGATGTATGGGAAAAATTGATACTAGACGAGGTCAGTATGGTCATAAATTGGTGTTACATGAAAACACGGGCGACTTACTCCTGAATTTGTTTCCTTAACATCAGGCATCGAAAATTGTGAACGCACAAGAGGTGACACGGGCAGAGTTTCCAGTGGGAGGATATGTCAGCTCCAGCGCCATTACACCCGACTTTTTCAGCGAGAGTGCAGAAAAAAGGAGAAATGAGCTGGTCCAGACCGGTATGCGCTTTTTACATACGCTAATTCACCGGAAGATAGCCCTATCGATGAAGAAGAAACAGGCCGCGCGTGACAGTGATGATGTTATGGAGTCATCCCAAAATGATACAAGCTCTTTAGGATCAGACGGCGCTGCCCCTGGGGAGACTCGAATTGAAGGGGCGGTCGATGATGTGACCGTTATGTCGATGGAAAATCTGGTGTACGTGAAGTCCACGCCCAGCGATCAAGCAGATCATAGGTTGACTAAGGTGATTCTTGACAAGCAAAAACATAAATACATGAATGACAGACTTACTGTTATATTTCGATGTAGGTTCCCACTATGGTGTGTGCTATGATTGCTATGACTTGCAATCGTCGCAGTAATGCCATACCAGTCGCCAATGGGCTCATGGCCTTAGCTGGCGGAGTGTCATGTCGGGTTCACGATTGGCTCCACGCTTTGGGCCTGGCGAGTTCCAGACCGACCGTCCTGCTCGCAATCGATCATTTCCGTCAGTTACAAGAAAAGCGGATGATGGACCTATTTAAAATTAATCATAAGCTTATGCCCTTTCTATGTTATGATAACGTCGACATCAACTTGAAAATTCACAACACTTGTGTCGAAAGAAACACAAGACTGTTTCATGGTACCTGGGGTTATTTCAACGTCATTCAACCCTCACTCTTGGCCGAGTGCACGCCAGAAGACCTCGCTCTGCCGGTGTTTTTGGATCGCATGGCTGTAGCCGACCGAACCCCAGTGGACTTGTCGTTATTCACCCCTGGCCCTGCGGAAAGCAAACATTGGAGGTCCGTGTTAAAAGCTCAACTGGCCAAGGCGCTGAAAGATTATATAACACACATACCCGGTGCGCCAGACGTCAGCAAGTTGCCCTCGCTTAAGATGAAACCGTGCCCCATCGATCCTATTGTTATGCACAAACCAAATTTACACTTCCTACGCATGATGGACGCCCCAGACTCGTCAGCCGAGGGTGTCTCACGCGTACTTGATCAGATTTTGGGGCAGATAGGAATGGATCAAGAGGCTTACTCGAAACACCTCTTAGTTGCTGGAGGGGATGTAGGTTCGAATCAATTGGTTGAGAGCCTCAGAGTGAAGAGATTCCCTGCAATTAATTCAGTCGAAAGTTACAAGTGGATCCTATCTGTGTTTGGTGGTGCGCATACCACTTGGAATTTTGCAAAGAGCCTATGGACGCTCCACTGGGGCAACTCGGATAAAGCAGAGGATACCGGGGTTTGGAGGTCGGCCTTTTCGCTTGGTTTAGAGTACAAGAAACCTGCCTCCGCGCAGGATTTCAACACAATCATGAGATCTGTGCATATTGTGCACACTGCGAACCTGGTGTTTGTACTGAGGTTAGTCATATGGAACTATACGCTGTAATTGTAACGATGCGCACAACTCACATACATTTTCTTCATTCAGGCAAGTCCTCAAGTCCATCAAGGATATCGATTTGACTCAAGCGGCCGATTGTGATCGCCTCTTTGAAACAGTTTGCAATCAATATTTTGATGCACCCGCTTTGGAAGCGGCCAGGGAAAGCAAAGACCATACTCAATACAACTTGCGCTTGCGATTGCGAGATTTCGCTACTGTTGTGGAGGCACAGGCTGCATCGCGTGCGGGTGATATTGGTCGCCTCGTGGCCATGTGGAAACGTTGGGCCGTAATGGCCCAAGGGCTGCCCGGACTGTCGCATTACGGCCGCCATATACCCCGACTGGTTCTTCTTTTAGAACGAGATCTACCTAAGAAGTTGGCCCACGCAATCAAACATTCTCTACTAATACCTTCGAACGAGCGAGAAAACCATTGGTTAGCAATTGATGAATTGATGGAAATTCACATATGTTGGTTGAAACACCATTATGATACTACAGTAAGTCACCCAATGCTTTTTCATTATGTCTTTCGGCTTCCAAGTAACGCTAGTGTGTAAAAACTGACCTTAGGGGCGGGGAACGGACATTGATCGGCTCACTTATACACTTTCGAATAACATCCAAATGGTGAGGTCCACTCGAAATTAATTGCAACGCATCAAATTTTAATAGTTATTTACACTTTTGCCAATCATGGTGGCCACAGTTAAGGAGACTTATGCAGCTTATACTCTCTGAAACGGGTCGCAAGATTATTTACCAGGCCAACTTGAATGGTATAACTTGTGCGTCGTTGGAATTATTCCTCACGTATGCCGCGGAATGTTTAGGTGAAGGAGGACCGAGCTTGCGACCCCCGCCGCAGGTCACGAACATCTGGCGACAGGGAGTTCGGAATATGGTCAAATTAAGTCTGGCTGACAAAGTCGCGGGTCGATCATCCCGCTTTCGATGGGGGGCTGCGGACGTGTTGTTGTCGTGGGTTGATGAGGACAGTCCCATAGTAGATTGAACCAAAAAATCAGATATCACTATCAAAACATTGCGAGTATAAAAGGCCTAATGGCACTTACCTCGAAGTTAACTTTTGTCCTTGAAGACACTCCCTCCAGTGGCACATCGGCGACACACTTTGAAGTTTTTCTGGTGGCCTGCTGATGTCCCAGCGGATTCTGCAATGAGTTGACCCGAACGGCCCCCTTGGTTTCTCTTTTACGAGCTTCAGCTTTTCCTCGCTCTTGATCTCGCTGTGCCTTTGCTTCAGCTTTCGCAAGTGCCGCTTCGCGTTTCGACTCCTCGCGCGCGGCTTTGATGGCCAACTTGTTCGCTTCGGCGCGCTGTTTGCTCAATTTAAATCCTTCACAAGATTGAGGGACCTTTGATGAATTGTTCGGCCGGATCGTGGAAGCCCGTCGTGCTGCTGTGTCTGCTAGAAGTGCCCCGGTCGCAAATTCGCTCTTCCACTGACAGAACACCACAAAGAGACAGTCGAACTGTCCTTTGAGAGTTTCGCTCCCCAGAAGTAAAGCAAAATCACTAGGGCTGGTAATGATATCAATGTTTTTTGCCAGGTCCCAAGCCATATCCCTTCCAAAATAGTCGGGCGGGCCAAGGTCAGATGGCTCAGTGAAAATGAGGTAGAACAACTGGTTGAATGATTCTACCCATCTAGTTACGAGTTTTTCTAGGAGGGGTATATTGATGATCGGGTCATCAGCCACACAGATATGAGCTACATGTTGTATGTCAGCTGCTGGTGCGACTGGTGGGTCAGGCAGTTCTTCAACAAGGTTGAGCAACTCCATCTCGTTCATAGCCAGAGCTTCATCAAAGTTTTCGACAGTGAGCGCTGGCTGAGCTAGCCACAAGGCCTCGGCTTCTTCAGGCCGACAGTTGGAACAATCGCACGGTGACATTCCGCATTGTTTCTGACGGTCAACTTCCTCTTGAACACACAGCTCATTGGGTTGGAGTGGTATGTAACCCAGCCTGAATTGTATGTGTATGTATGTATTAAAACGTCAGCCTGTTGGATTAGGCGATGATATCTAAACCATCTTGCTACTCACCGGAGATCGATGGCCAGGGCAACCCGGAGGCAAACTGGGGTGATCGCCAGAGCGTCCATGCGGTCATCGTCCGACATGACCGTAGGCGTTTTAAAATCGCAGATATCATTCTTGCCATTTGTCCTTTTTTGTTCGACCAGAAGTATCCCCAAACCTCGCCGGCCATCGCGACCTCCTCGACCCGACATTTGCACAAAATTCCCCGGGCTTTGACGACCTACAACAATTACACGTCGGACGCGTTTCCAGTTCTGACCCAGCCCCAGAGCAAGGGTACAGCATAGGACTGCGAGAGTGCCCGTCACGTACATAGCAACCGCATCGATTTTGGACTGGGGTCCTGTGTTTGCATGATAACGTCGTGCAAAGTCAGATTGTCCATTTCGAGCTTCTTTAGGATGGCCACATGATGCGTTGATCATAATGAGGTATTCAAGTGTGTTGTTTTGAGTTCCAGCATACAGAAGTGAGGGTACTATGGATTTCGTAGGCATGACGGCGTGATGTGCAAAGAGTCCTCGTACAGATGTTTTGAGTGGTTGTTTGAAGGATCTTCAAAGGAAACGAATTTCAGGCCGAGTGAGTTCGGCGCGGGGAAAACGGACGTCTCTAGAGTCGAGTTTGAGATTTGCCAAAATTGCATGTATGGCCTGCGGCGTGCAGGTCGCCGACATCAAAAGAAGGGGGATATTCGCCGAAGACAAGAACCGACGAGCCAGTTCTCCATAAGAAGGTTGAAACACGCCGGCGTCCTGGACGCGGACGTAACTGGCCATCCTTTTGGCTTGACCACTTTCAACGAGACCCCACTCGTTGACCATGTGCGCCTCGTCCACTACTATAAGAATCAGTCGCTCTTGGAATCTTTTATCTCGCCACATTTTGTCAAAGTGCTTATTTGTTAAGGCCACCTCCGGGCTCTGCGATGGGTCATCATGAAAAAATATTCACATCAGTTTCTGCCATAGTAACACAACACGCGACCCGTCCCAAATGTAAAAGGAACATTACCACATATACAAACGAGAATTTGCCTTCCAGAATAAGTTGACAATTCTCGTGCGTGCAGTTTGGACCATTAAGGTTCACACCTTTCAATCCGACCTGGGCTTTCTCACTGACCTGCCATCCAATAATGGAACATCAGTCAGATTTGATAATGCAAAAGCGGACTGACTAGCTTACCTGATCATCACCTAGTGAGTCTAGCGGATTGATACAAAGGACAATAGGTGCATAGTTGGTACGGTCATGAGCTAGATAGAAAACTTCCGGCACTCGGCTCTTGCCAAAACCGGTGCCGGCCAGTAGGAAGACCGTTCGACCTTGCAGGAGGTGCACCGCAGACTCGTTCTGCTGAGCACGGCCGTTGTATCCATAATGATGCTGAAACAATTCGTCAATGGCTGCGTGTTGGTTTGCCTCGCTAGTGTCAACAAATTCGGAAAGGCGTTTCGGCCGCATTGTGAGAGATTGTGTCGGTTCTTTCCGGGACATTAAGGCCTCATTGGTTTGAGACTGACTCCTTCGTAACATCGTCCTGTGTTGTGACTGAGCTGTAGTGGTGCAATGAGGGTGTGGTGCAATGAGGGTAGTCCAAATCGGTCACTTGTCAGATTTCCCGTGTGGTGTCATGCAAACAGCAGTTTGCCTGTTTGGTTTTGACTGTTTTGTCCTCCAATCTGTTGTTTTTTCCGTTAATCGCCAGTTCTGGCCCCCGCAGTCATGACTAGACATGTACGGCCCCGGGTTTGGCCCCAAACCATTATTTTGAGATAGTTTTGTGCTTAGATGAGATAATTAAAAGCCGAGAGCGGCAAATTGCAGCAAGAGAGCAAGCGCGCTCTTTTTATTAAGGGCTTGATGGACCTCAATTGACGAGAATGGCGAGCAGAGCGATTCCTAGCTTTTGGGAAATTGTACCGGCCGATCTCAGGCCAAAAAAACGAGCTAATGTGTAAGTCCCTCGTTTGAGCTGGCCAGTACAGCTCTCGAGGGACTTAGTTAAGTTTGCTCTAGAGGTACTCGGGAGGTCTAAATATAATTTCAAGAAGGTTGACTTTCTTTGCAGTTCAAGAAAAAAAAAGTCTGTTTTGTTGGTGTTAAGAAAAACCGTACGACTTTTTCTTTTCTTTCCTTCAACTTCGTCTTTTTTGTCTTTCTCTCAGTATAGGATACGAAGTTCAAAACCCGGGTTTCCAAAAAAGTTCAATCAGATGCAAACCTCCAAATCAAATCTCGTTCGATCAAACCCCACGACATATTTCCTTTTTGCGTAATTTCCTCAACTTGTTCGTCTTTCATGTACATGGTTTGGAAGGTATCTAGTGGGATCTGGTTCGATCGGTTGAAAATCTTCGTGCTACAACCGATCGTTTAGCTTATCTTATCCTCTTAAGCTTACACCTTTTATGTAAACCTTTCAAAACCCCTTCTGATGATCTCTGTGCCTTTGTACTACACCTTCTAAATCCAATTTTAAACCCCAACATCTGATCAAGAACTTCATAATATACACATCAATATATATATATCCAGAACGTGGGTTCGAGAATATCTTGTTTTATATGTTCGACTTTGACTTTGTTCATAAGAACAAGATTCCTAGTGATTTCGTTTTTCTTTCCTAGAAACTGAGATTTTCTTATCATCCGAATCTAATCCTCAAGCTTGCCTTTTCAATTATGTTTAGTAATTCTATAATGATGATCTTATTAATTGTTTTATCTCTCACATTTCAATCTAAGATTCTTCAGGGTTCGAATATTCATTGTGATCAAGTTGAATCTTATCAAAAAGGCAGAATTGAACAGATCGATTGTGAAAGGTCTTTCTTGGACTTTCTTTCAGATCAGTTTTAATTGACTCCCAACCTTATACTGACCTAGACTTTTTTATATCATCTTTTTTTTTCCGCGCTCTCAAGAGCTTTGGAACAATTCCGTTATCAGAATGATTGGATGTTAGATGATCCACTCTTGATGGAACAAAGTTGTTCAACTTGTAAGGTCAGTCATAAACGAAAAATTATATATCTCATCATGATCAACATCTTAACAACTTTTTACACTTGATAATTCATCCTATAGATCACATTCGAGTTACGGGAAGGAAATTCAATCACTACGTCAGTACTTGAGTTCAGTTCATTCAAACTCACTGGACAGTTAGTTTTCTTAATTCGATGAGTATATCCATAATTCTTTCTAGTTCTCATGATCTCATGAAGAGAGCAGTCAAGGAAATCCTGAATCAATGCCAATCACATGTATGTCAAGTTTTTGGCCATTTTATAGCTTAAATCATAAATTCATCTGTTTTATACTAATAGTCAGGTTCGATGGCCGTGTACAACACTCGAGCTGGAAAGTACAATACTCGTGAAATGTTTATCATCAATCTTCGAACTGGTCTTGGAGGTGATTGCAATACCCAAACTTCTCGTCATCATCAATGGACTTTTCCACCTCATGGCATACCATAATTTAGAATAAGGAACAAAAGACATAGATCTCGAGACTTCATCACCTCAAAACATTTGTATCATTTTCTTATATAACATATTAATTATAGCTAGTAGTAATCTTTCATTGCTTCCCGTGTTTTTTAAGCCAAATAAAAAAATTCTTGATGCCTGATATCTTACCTTATCGTGCGCAAACTATTGATCATCAATTATCTCCTCCTGAGATGACGCATTTCATTTTCCGAATTGGCAATGATGACACATCACTAGCCTGTCTGATTCTTCAACAATCATACAGAAGGGCATAGATCAGTCAAAAGGCTAAGAAAAATGTAGATTATTGCAACAATCTCTGGCTGGTTTTGGAAGAAAGGTATCGAGGCTATGATTCTACATACGAGCACATTCTCGGTATATTTCATTGCACATCTCACACCCATATTCCACTCTGAATCCAATGGCAAAAGTTCAAAATGTTATTCTTCGAACCAGATTAACGAAATGAACCTTCTTTCCACTTAAATTGATCTGAAATCATCGATATTTACTTTTTGGGTTGTTAAGGGCCCGTTCGGTACGATTCGATATACATATATCGTGATATACTACACCAAACCAATATACAGTATATCACCATATACGTATATCGAATTTTCCAAAAAGTCGCGGTGTTCGGCAAAATCATTTGGACAAAATAATAAATCATATATCATGATATATTGGTCCATTCTGATATACAGCCTTGAGGCCGTATATTGGACCAAAAAACCCTTTTTGCCCCTCTCCCTTTTCCATACACTTCTCTCTCCTTCACTCTTTCTCCCTTCCTTTTCAACCAACCTCTCTTCTTTTACCATAAACCCTCCTTCACCATAACCGATCCTTGTTTCTTCAAGTTCAACCGTCACTATTGACTGTCACCCTTTCGACTTCATGAGTTCATACACGCTGACCGATTCATCATAAGCAAGTACACACCCAAGATTTCCATCAATTCCTACATCTGACTCTCATTCACATATGAACTTATTACTACCACCTACTTGTACTACATAAGGAGATTTAGGTCGACCTTTTCATCCAGCATCAACACCAAGTTCAACACATCCTTCTCATTTCTTATCACCTATCAATCGAGAAGATGAATTCCTTCTTGATCCTTGGAGTTGTTTCAATTCATGTTGCAATCATTCAACTACCTTGTTATAAAGTCTTCAATCATGATCTATAATCATTCAAATTTAAATCTTGAACTTGAGAACAACGCTCCATGGTCTTTTAAATTGTGTGATGTGAGAGTGTTACAGTTTGAGTTGTGAATAAAATGCAGATGGACTGTTTAGGTCGTTGATGACCGATGAATTTTAATAGCTATGTATCAATTGATGTTCAAATTTCATTTGATATTCACTTTTCAAATGAGCGTTACCGAACACTCAATTGGTCATCAAAAGGGCAACAACGATCATTTTGATCGTTCGATGACCTTTTTGATTGGGTGTTCGGTAAAGTTACATGACCGAAAAACAGTTTTCAATCTGCCCCTGTGAGATC